GTATCTGTATATACATATATCTATATGCATACATATATATATATGTATATCCAGAGGCGTGTAATTATATATATATATATCTATGGGTATAGTTCTATTCGCGTCCCCCAATGGGTTCCTTCCTAATCACCATGATCATGGATGACGCTGTTACTGATGATGATGATGATGATGACGATGTTGATGATGATGATGGTGATGATGGTGATGACGATGATGATGATGACGACAATGACGACGATGACGACGATGACAAGGGTGATGATGCTGATGTTGATGTCCATGACGAAGCTATTTGGCTGCTTGGCCCCTTCATCTTGGCACTTCGGTAGTACATGCCATGGATGCTGTCAATGCTTTTCGAAAGAGCATTCGGGATGAGCACTTTCAAACCAGTTCCAGCTTCATGGCCAACATCATGTACTCCAAGTTAGACATCGAACAGGAATGCGACTTGCCAGACACTATGATGCTGCGAGCTCTCATGGTGTTCATGGCTTATGGTATGGTGAAGGTATGGAAGTGTTCGACTTGCAAGTCTTCGTGCACTATACGCTCCAGAGATCCTGCCAACAGTCTCTACTGGGTGTGTAAAACGAACTACTCACGCAAGCACTTCCAGAAGACTGTTACTGTACCAGCTTTGGCAGCCTTGCGAAGCCAGACTTGGATGGCCTTTCTACATTTCCTTGTCTTCATGGCATGCAACGAGAAGATGATGAGAATCGAGGAAGAACTGTTGAGTGTACATGGCACAAGCAAGAGCACTGTGCACCGATGGCAGGCATTTTATCAGAAGTGTCTTACGACCTACATGAATGCACAGAACCTCAACAAGGTCGGTGGTCACAAGAGACGCTGTGTTGTGGACGAAACCGCTGTGGGGAAGGTGGGAGTCCGTGTGGGCAAACCAGCATCCAAGCTAGGATCAATGACCAGACGTCCTGTGCGCATTTTGAGTCCATTATAATGGAAGCGATTCGCTTGCACAGCAAGTCTAAGAAGTGGTCGCCTGTGCTGTTGGAGTGAACAAGTGCAGACCAACTGTGGGGGACATGAACGAAACTATAGCGAAATACAAATGTGTGTGTATATGTATATATATATACATATCCTTACTTATCTCCACTTTTATCTCCACATTATGCTATGCCGTCAATGAACAAGGATCCCTGAATCAGAATCAGGGACCCCTACGTGAAAGAATCTGCAAGATCGTGAGGTTGAAGTCCGCCCGGTATTTGCGTACGCTGCGCCTGCTGCGACTCTTCAGGCCGCTGTTGGGGTTAAGAGGTTTAGGGTTAAATTATGGCTGAGGGCCGGAGTGGTTTGAGAGTTTCAGAATAGCATGAGCCCGATGTCGTAGCCACCTTCGTTGTTTCGTTGCCATAAGGTCTTCAATCCAAACGCTCGGGCAGACTGTACTTGGATTTAGCATGTGCAAGGTTCTGTCCTTCTTAGCCCTCGGCCCTGACACCTAGGGTTTAGGGTTTAGGGTTTAGGGCCTGCATCGCAGAAGATTACTTGCGAAGGCTTCGGGTGAGGCAGAGCACTTGTAGAATTAGGCCGTGGCATCGCGAGAAGGATCGAAACCCTGAACCCCAAACCAAACCGAAAAACTTAGTTGACCCTAATAGCCCCAGAATGCACAACCGCAGCGAAGTCCTTCGGAGGCTTCTGCGGGTGGTGAAGCTCTACCGCGAGCTCTCATTGCTGGCCAACCGCTTTTTGTCGACCTACGCCTACATGGTCATGAAGGCAGGGTGCGCAAGTCGCTACGCGCCGACATACACAGTTGCGCATGATCCTCCATCGACGTTCCACAGACCCTAAACCCTAAACCCGAAACCCGAAACCCGAAACCTGAAACCCTAAACCCTAAAAATTCTCATGTCTCTTCCGTCTTGGCGCCTTCTCTCCGGGTGGTATTGGATAGGGGAGTAGGTCTTGCTGGGCTTTTAATGAGTCGACTGCAGTGACAGCTGTGGCATTCCGCTGACGGTTTAGGGTTTAGGGCTTACGGTTTAGGACGTTCGCCTACACCCTAAACCCGGAAAGCCTAACCCCTAAGTTAGTTCACCTGTAGCGGTCATGTTGCTCGAAGATGTTTCCATCTCTGTAAGCCTTGTATGCGAAAGAAAGACCCAAAAGACAAAGAGCCTAACAGGCATGATGTGAGACCCCAACATTAACATAAAGCGGAAAGGTGTGATGTTATTAGGTCCCACCTAAAATCAACGATATCAGACCCAAACAGACCCGAAATGCTTTCATGCAAACACCCCAGGAACAATAAACAACAAAAACTAACTGACGTCCAAAAATCCTACAGGAAATACCATGGTCGAAGACACACACACACACGCAAGTACCTTTATAGGCTGTAGTTTGATATACGATACTTGAATAGAGCCGAGTAGAATGACATAGAATAGCCCGACAAAGCTGAATAGATGCCTGTTGGGAGTTTACTTAAAGCATATCTTGAAGCCTTAAAGCCGTTGACCTAAATTGTAGACAGGCTGTTGGTTTAGTATTTAACCCTAAACCCTAAACCCTAAACCCTAAACCCTAGTCCGGAGCCTTTCCCTTTCGAGGTGGTGGCTGGGCTCTGTGTGATGTTGGCGATCAACCATCTCATTGCTTGCGCCTGGTATGGCATCGGCAGCTGGAACCCTGGCAAAAACTTTGGGGGGGATTTAGGTCTTAGGGTTCGGGAATCAGGCAAGGACTTTGGGTTAAGGTCTTAGGGTTAGGGAACCCTGGCAAGGACTTTGGGGTTTAGGGTCTTAGGGTTAGGGAATCAGGGTGTTTCGACGTTTATCGCTGGTGAAAGTTGTAGAATGTTGCCTTTTTTGTTTCAGAAAACCAAGCGCCAGACACTGAACCGTACTGAGAAGAGCCAGGCCATCTCAAACTCGATGGACATACATAAAGTCGTGCTGTGGAGCGCGATCGCATCAAGCTTCCGTCCTATTCACAACCAGGGCCCGCAACCTCTGAGCCCTAAACCCTAAACCCGCTGTACTCTGTTACCGCAGTATCTTGGACGGGCCTGGTCTCCCAGACTATGCGGAAACTCGAAGCCATCGAAAGCTCAACAGAACCGTAAACCCGAACCTACTGTTGATGGTATAAATCCTGCATTACCTTACGGACCCTACAAAAGCTTGAATTATCGGATTTCCTTATTAAGGATATCCCTAGACTATGGGAATGACAGGATATCCCTTCCTATGCGTAATGCCTTAAGGCCCCTAAACTATGGGAACTATGGGATATTCCTTGCTATGGGTAATGCCTTAAGGCCCCTAAACTATGAGAACTGTGGGATATTCCTTACTATGGGTAATGCCTTAAGGACTCCAAACTATGGAACTATGGGATATTCCTTACTATGGGTCATGCCTGAAGGACTCTAAACTATGGAACTATGGGATATTCCGTACTATGGGTAATGCCTGAAGGACACTCAACTATGAGAACTATGGGATATTCCGTACCATGGGTAATGCCTGAAGGACACTAAACTATGGGAACTATGGGATATTCCTTATTATGGGTAATGCCTTAAGGACACTAAACTGTGGGAACTATGGGATATTCCTTACTATGGGTGATGCCTGAAGGACACCAATCTAAGGGAACTCTGGGATATTCCTTACTATGGGTCATGCAGGATTTACACCATCAACCGTATGTACTCTGAGAGTAGCATCCCGAAGCTCTTGACTCTTGACCTTGACATCTAGGGTTTAGGGCTTATTGGGTGTAGGGTTTAGGGTATAGGCTTTGGGGTTTAGGGCTTTGGGCTTGTAGGGTTTAGGGTTTAGGGCTTATAGGGCTTTTAGGATTTAGGGCTTTACGCCACCCATCAGACATGCCTGTTTAGCTTCGAGAAAGTATGAATGTACCTTCGGCCAATAGCAATATCCCACAGGTCCATGTAGTTGCTCAAATAGTATACTTTGGACCCAAAGTACCTATATAGGGACTATATACTTTGAGGCAAGAGTACGTACTATTTGCGTACATGGACCCCAAGGGTATATCAAAGGTAAAAGATTGACGCTTCGAGGCCAGATGGCGAAAACACATGGATCAAACGGGCGGAGATCCACGGCGCGGGCTCACAGGCTCGGAGGAATCTTATGTAGCCCAGAGGGTCCATGTACCTAAATAGTATATACACTGGCCCTAAAGTACCTATATAGGGACTACATTAAGGCCAATGCATACACTATTTGGGTTAGGGTAGGGGCCTGAACATGAATGAGTGCGGGTACTCCGTGATAGCCTTCGTATGATTTTGTGTAGACCTTGTCCTGGAATCCCGCTCTAAGTATTTACTAAGGCCCCTGCAGTGCCTGTAATGGTTTCATTGTCGTTGCTCGTGTTGTCAGTTGGTGGTATGGTGGTTGTCTTGGTCGTATGTATCTGCGTTGCAGGGTCAACGCCGGCATAATAATGCTTTAAAGGTGGACAAGGTCTCTCGGGCAATGTAGCACATGGCATCTATATTGTTAAGGGTCATGGCAAATTCATTCTGGATCTCAGAACATGTAGCGGCTGGGTCTTCTCAGACTTGGTGTGTTGCTGCATATCACACTGCCCCTGCTTGCAGGAGGGAATCGCCGGTTTCGCCGACAACTATGCGGCCTCCATGTGCCTCGGGCGAGCAAAGCCGTCGTTTTAGGCATCGTGTATATACAGAACCATGGACAGCTAGCACAGATGCAAACAGCGGCCAACTAATCTTAAACTCGTATCCACCAACACGCAGACAGAGACTACGAGCGGACAGACACACTTGACAAATGGGGTCGCCGGTCATTTCATATCATGTGAGCTGAATAAACGAACAAAAATCTGGGGTTGTGGTTTAGCCCCCTGCCATAGCCAAACACTGCAGAAGAAAGGTATGTACATTATGTGTATGTCTGGCATATATATATATGTCATCTGCAGATGCTCTGTAATTAAGTTCAGCAGCTAGGGATCCCTTGTTGTTTCAGCAAGGGGCAAAGGCTTTCTTTGTTTCCAGGCAGTCTATACGCATGTTCAGCCTCCTTGCTTGCACATGTCAGTAGTCTTCGCCCGTAGGAACAGGTTGGGACACACACACACACACACGCGCGCACAGATATACCCGTACCATTCGTAACAAGAGGTTGTCTTGGATCTGGTGCCATTTCCACAATTCGTATGTTGCTTCGCTTCTTGAAATACGGGTTGAGAGGGCTCGCCTATCCCAAGACAAAGGAAGGGGGGTTTACGATTTTACTCGGCATTCACACAGTGGCTAATGCGAGGAAGCAGCGATGCGAACGCCATCATGCCAATTAATATCGTTGAATTATCAGCAATGTTAGCAATAACACTGCTGCAACATGCGCAGTTGCCTTCATGGCGGTAAGACATGTTCCAATCGCCATCACGGCAGCATCTGAAGCAATACAATCCGTGATCACAAAGCTGATCAAAGATGCAGGCATTGGGCTCTGACACAGTTCACCCCTGCCACCAACAACATCGCCCCCTACAATGCCGCTGAGCGGTTCGACACTCAGAGGTTTAACAGTTGAAGCGTTTACGGCTTTAGGGTTTACAGTCAGTGGTTTGGTGTCGGTGTCACGGTTTGAGGCTTAATTGCGGGTTCGTGTGCCATAGTTTGTGGAGGTCTGGTGGTAGAGAATTGTTTTCACCTTGATGGTCCTAAATGGGTAGTTCTCTAAATTAGGGTCCCTTTTTCGGTCCCCAATATAGTACGGCACCCTTATAAAAAAAGGACCCTAAAAGGGACCCTAATTTAGGGAACTACCCAAATGTTGGGCACTTGGGATCCAACAGACCCGGCTCCCCTAAGCCCTAAACCCTAAACCCTAAACCCTAAACCCTAAACCCTAAACCCACCTTAAGGACGACATGACCCTTAAAAGTAGGGGCCCCATGCCCTTATACTATGAATCCCTATCTGGTCGGTTTAGGGTTTAGGGTTTAGGGTTTAGGGTTTGGGGAACCTTAAACCCTTCTAGGGTTCATTTCGTCCTTAAGGAAACCGCAAATCGTAATTGTTTGGGGTCCTTGGCCCGGAACCCTCTAGGGTTTAGGGTTCAGGGTTTAGGGTATTGAGTCCCTCCCACCCAAATGCTGAAAACTCTAAACCCTGCAGCTTGAACCCTATCCCCCAGGTTCAAAGGCCGACATAGCGCGGTGGGTAGTGTAAGACACGCAGTCAGTCTTGAGCTGCGGCTTTTTCCATAACGGTTTTTTTCGGATCCCGTATAATCTAGGGTCGGAAAACCCTAAATCCTAAGCCCTAGACCCTTCCTTGGGGTTCTACTTATCAAGGCCCTTATCCCCAACACCTTTAATATAGAACCCTGATCGATCACTTTCTAAGACCCGTTAAAAGGAACCCTATTCTAAACAGCAGTGCGCCTAATCAAGCGCGAAAGGGTCTCCCGGCTGTGCGGACATGTTCGGACTCATCGCGGTGCTGCTAAAGGTGGGTTTTGCCATCACCCGACACCCGGAAAGGTCAGCATCGCAGCGTAAAGGGTGTGTAAGTTTAGGAGTTGCGCTGCAAGGGTTCTGCAGGTGTGGTACTTATCTTGCGGATCTTGCAAGAAATGGCCTGTTCGTACTCTTGTGAGCTTCCGGGTGTGAGGTGAGGTTTGGGGGTTTAGGGGTTTCGGGTTCAACATGCTGTCAAGGTTCTTTGCCATTTGGGTGATCCTGCTGGCGATGGGCAGCACGGTCGCAGGGGAGATGGGTTCGCAGAAATGAAGATCCTTTTGCCCCCAAACCCTATACGTCCTAAAAACCAACCTCTAAACCCTGCATCCGACAAAATGCTAAACGCGAAGAACCCCCAGGATGTTGTGAATTTCATGTCACACCTCGGAGCATGAAACAACATGGTATCTAGGACTTCGATCAGACATGTGCGGCCAACAAGGTCTTTTCAGTGGAGAGAAGGGGTTCAGGGTTTAGGGTATGAAGCTTGATAATTAGTCAGAAAGAAGGGACTGCCATGGGGCCTGTTTTGTTGCACACCACAGTTCCGCATACTTTTCGGTACTTGTCATTTTGGATTGCTTTGCATGCTCCCGGCAGGCACGGAAGGCCTAATTTGGCCTAACTAGTGGGGCTATTGTTTAGAATTTGGGATAATATAGCTATACGATAGTTTAACCCGTAGCTCCAAGCACGCCTCTAGGCATCGTTTTTCAACTCACAGCCCCAAGGCCCTGCAAAAGCAGAGTTCGCTAACGCGCAAGCCCGCCCCAAATGCCCCACAACCGGAGCTCCTCAGGGTGCCAAGCGCCAAAGCACAAAGACCAAACCCTCAATCGGAAACCCTAAAAAACTCCAAACCAGTAAACTGTGAATCCTCAACCCCAGACCCTAAACCCTAACCGAATCGCGAAGCCTAAGCTCAACCCTACCTTAAGCCCACACTACATCCTACACCTAGGTGTGTTCTCCTCCTTCATTGGCTCCATCAGTGCCACGGTGAGTTCACTTCGCACGGCACGTGCCGATCAGTACCAGAAGCAGCCTCCTGGCTGCCTAGTAGTAGCTGTATCAGTAGCAGTAGTAGCAGTAGTCGCAGCAGTAGCAGCAGCAGCAGCAGCATTCTTGAGGCTCCCTGCATTAGCCTACGGCCTAAGTACCTAAATAGTAGCGCTCAATATGCAAAATACTATACCGTGACTGGTTTTTTGGATCCTAAATCCTAAGCGGGCCTATACGATTTAAGCTGCGAAGGGACAGAGAGATTGAACTTAGAAGTTCAGCCGGGGATTTTGTCTAGAAGTCTAGGAGTAGCTTTGAGGGTATGGGGAGGCCTGATTTTACTTGTTTGTCTCAACCTTAAAATCAACCTTAAACCCTACATCCCAGATGGCCCAGAACTACTAAACCCTGAACCCAATTATGGGTTCCCTCTTGTTATCAATCAAGATGTCAATAGAGGGAGCCCTCATGTGGAAGAATCCCTTACAAGACACCCCCAGACCTGGTTGTAATTACAACGGCCACTATATATGTCAGTAGACCCTAAACCCTAAACCCTAAACCCTAAACCCTAAACCCAGTAGTAATCAGGTATTGGGACTCCTGTACCTGAGGCCCCTCAACCCTAAACCCTGAACCTTCAAGAACCCCCTAAACCTCAAAGCCTCAACCCCTCCTCCCAGAACCCTGAATACTGCACCCTGAACCCTTAAACCCCTAAACCCCCAACCCCTAAACCTTGAACGAACTCAGAGACTCCAATACCCCTTAATTGAGGAATATACCTTAAATCATATTAGGCACCCGACTATAATTTATAAGGTATATTCCTTACTTAAGGGGTATTGGAGTCTCTGGGAACTCTATACACCCTAAAACCCGAAGGCTCCATGTATCTTTATAGTAGATACTTAGGCCTTAAAGGGGTTCCTATACAGGTACTTTAAGGCCTAAGTATCTACTATATGGGTACATGGAGCCTTAGGGAAACGACCTAAACCCTAAGCCCCTAAACCCTAAACCCTGAACCCCTAAACCCTAAACCCTAAACCCTAAACGTGGGGCGCATTACCAGGTCGAAGCTTTTGCAATTCTTCATCGAGCGCGACCTCTCGGTTGAGCTTTTCGGCAAGGCGCCTTGGAGCATCGTTTTAGGAGGTTGGGGTTGATGGGGTTTAGACGTTAGGGTTTAGGGTTTAGGGTTTAGGGTTTAGGGTTTAGGGTTTAGGGTTTGGGGTTTAGGGTTTGGGGTTCTTGGATTTGGTTTCGGGTTTTGGGTTGAGTCGTTCTGGCTGCTGTAGGGCTTGGCTTTGTGGGTGTTGGTGCTTGCAAAACCCTCCAAACCGCATACTCTAAACCCCAAACGCTAAACCCTAAACCCCATACCCTAAACCCTAAACCCCATACCCTGAACCCTAAACCCTAAACCCCATACCCCATACCCTAAGCTCTACGCCTGGTAATGCTGAAGCTTTGGGTTTTGGTGCTTCTGGGTTTGGAACCCCTCGGCATTCTTCAGGTCCCCCAGGTGCCACTATACAACCCTTTTGGTAGAGCCTCTTATACAACCCTTCACAGAACCCTTATGTTAAAATTATGTAACAGTTCCCTATTTTGGTATTATCAATGATAATGAAATCAATGACTTTGATTATATTGATGTAAGTAATAAAATTTAAACTCTAAGCCTTATAGACCCTTTGTAGAACCCTTGTATAGCTCTGTACACAGCCCTTTAATAGCGGCGCCTTCTGAAAGGCTCCTTGATGCGCGAGTTTTGCCTAGGTGCAAGAGGCGTTGAAGCGCGTGGGGAACTTGGAGGTCAGCATCATGGCTGCAACAAAGCTTGGGGTTTGAGATCTTAGGGTTTCTGGGTTTGGGGTTTGGGATTTTAGGGTTTCTGGGTCTTAGGGTTTCTGGGTTCACTGTTTCCCTAAGGCTCCATGTACCCATATAGTAGATACTTAGGCCTTAAAGTACCTATATATGGACCCCGGAAAGGCCTAAGTATCTACTACAAAGGTACATGGAGCCTTTGGGTTTGGGTTTTAGGATTTTGGGGGTTTCAGTGAGCTGACCTGTCGTCGTTCCGGTCGTGTTGTGTGCAGCAGCGGTCATCCTCGCGCGCAACGCCTGCTAAGTTCTGGTACGTATAGGGGTTCCTTTAAAGGGTTCCTTAAAGGGTTCTATAAGGTCTACCATAAGGGTTTAGGGTTTAGGGGCCTTAACACTTAGAATAGGGTTTAGGGGTTACCTCACCCCCGGGCCAAAATGAGCGGCTTCGTGTGCACCTTCCCCAAACCCTATTCTCATGTTTTCGGCAACCCTAAACCCTAAACCCTATATCAGAGGCTGCTGTGGATGGAAGAAGGGGCTCAACAAAACAAGAAGCCTATATCAGAGAATTTCCACTTACCTACACCCTAAACCCTAAACCCTAAACCCTAAACCCCAAACCCTACATGCCATTATGAGCCTGCAGCTGAGGAGTGAAAGAGAGTGAGGTGAGCCTCATCCAGGCGAGAAGTGAGGGTTCACGGCTTCAAGGTTTTAAGGGTTTAAGGGCTTATAGGGTTTAAGGTTTAGGGTTTAGGTTTAAGGGTTTAAGGGCTTGTCGGGTTTAGGGGTTAGGGTTTAGGGTTTAGGCTTAAGGGTTTAAGGGCTTATAGGGTTTAAGGTTTCAGGGTTTAAGGGCCTAGGGTTTAGGGTTTTAAGGGTTTAAGGGCTTATAGGGTTTGAGGTTTAAGGTTTAGGCTTAACTTAGGGTTTGGAGTTTCGGGGTGGAACTTGCAATTGAGAAGTGGGGTTCGCTTCGCCTGCACTTGCAGGATCTTGAAGTTTGATGCTGCGCATTGAGAGAAGCTTTGCTATTCTAGAGTTTAGCGCGCAGTAGACAGTGCATGTCGCCTTCGGTGCCAGACTCCTTCTGGTTTAGACTGTTCAGAGGCTTAGAAACGGGTCGTTGCCGATGTAGCTGTTGATGGGATTTTTCAGCAGTAGCGTTTTTCATACACGAATCTGCTAGCTCTACTGCTGCTACTGCTACTACTGCCGCTACTACTACTACTACTACTACTACTACTACTATTACTACTACTACTACTACTACTACTACTACTACGACGACGACGACGACGACGACTACTACTCCTATTGCTGCTACTGCCACCAAGACTGCCATCATATTATGACATTAGCTGCCACCACAGCAGCAGCAACAACAGCAAGGGCAAGCTGTCATGAGTACCAGGATTGTGGAGCAGGCAATTTTTATGCTCATGGTCGTATCACGTAACCCAATAAAGGGAACCATGGCGCCGACTCGACTATAGGTAACCCTAAGGGTCCAAGTACCTAATAGTCATATACTCTCCCAAATATTAGCCTAGATAACTACTATCCGCAACCAAAGTACCTTATTATTGGGTCCTTTGGACCCTTAGGGTAAATCCTAGTCACCCCCCTATGATGGATGCAACTCGAGCTTCGATGATGTCGTCTCGCGCGTCCTTAAGGATCCGATATTGTGGGGTCCGACCCGGTTTAGGGTTTAGGGTTGAGGGTTTAGGGTTTAGGGTTTAGGGTTTTAGCTCTTGAGATTTCTTCCGACCCCCCGACAACAAGAGGGCTTAGGGTTTAGGGTTTAGGGTTTTAGCTCTTGAGATTTCTTCCGCACCCCGACAACAAGAGGGTCTAGGGTTTAGGGTTTAGGGTTTTAGCTCTTGAGATTTCTTCAACCTGTTGTTATTCTGTAATTCTCCGGTGTCTCGGGTTAGGGTTGCAAACTCCAAACACGGTTTCGGCAACGAACGGCGAGGGCATCCCAGAGCGATTCAAGATGGAGTTGCACGAGGCGGGCTTTTTGAGTGTCGGTGTCAGGCAGATCAACCAAGAAGCTCAATGCCATAGCCCTGCTTTCTAACTTCCGGTCGAACAGCAAAACGCACCTGCTCCGGAAGCAGACATCTAGAGGAATGTCCGAGGGTGAGGGCAGCTTGGAAAGCAGCTTCAATGTGAAATCCTCTAAACTATCGGCCCTAAACCCTAAACCCCTGAAC